ACCCCTTCTTCGCTCCTTATTCTCCCAATTCCCCCTTTAAGCTTCTCATCGTCCATGCTAAACCTTCCGCCATCTCCGCCATCGGTCTCGCCGGTCCCGGTAATGTTACTTTTATTTTTTTGGTCGCACTCATGGAAACGATCTTTCGACTAAGAAATTTGGGATTTGATTTGGTTTTTGATTACTGCTTCTGAACATAGGATCTAAGCGATGTTTCAGGTAACAATGAATCCTACAATCCACAGGAGACTAAAGCTCGATGGGTATGGAACCCAGCAAGCGGATCAGCTCAGAATAGACTCCCGAAGTAACTAAAAGAACCTATCCACGTCTACGAACTTAAAGAGCTATCAATCAAAAGAGTAGCTAAACTACTACCAAGTTAAAAGCATTGCAATATCAAGTAGCAGCAGATTTTCACATTCCAATACCAAGGTCGTATTATCTTTAACGTCCTTGAGGCAAAGGCTAAGCGCGAAAGGCGTACCTCCTGGAGCAACGTACCATCGGCAGTGTTAAACAACCGAACCAGAGTGCCTTTGGTGCTCGCCGTGGCCAACAAGTGCCCGTCTTGCGTGAGCGCGAAACAAGCAATCCGTGAATCATGGGCCATGATGAACTTAGTCCGCTTCGACGCGTAATGCTCGACCCGAACTTGACCCTTCTGCAAACCAGGGCATACGAGCAACATCGCCCCAGCTCCCTGAGAAACGGAGCATAGACCCTTAGGATTCGCGATGGTCTCTATCTGATGCATCAGCTTCAGGTCGGCGAAGTTGTACACAAATATCTTCTGCTCGAGAACAACGACGATCCGATCCCTCCTGAGCCGGACCGCTCTCACATCGGACCTGAATGAGAGCTCGCCGATGCAGCGGCTCTGATGATCGTCCCAAATCATGACCTTATTGGGCGGATACTGCGGCTCGTGACCACCGCCAACGAAGGCCAGGATATTGCACCGAAAAAGCATCTCCACTACACCGACCCCACCGCCGCGATCGAAATCTCGCCGGAAGATCTCGCGAAAAGGGTCGCAGTTATAGATCCGGAAGCCGCGATCGGTGCCAGCAGCGAAGCAAGCGTGATCCTGGTTAAAGGAGAGGTAGAACAGGGAAGGCGGAGGCGTCGCCGGTGAATGCTGCGGCGGAGAGAGAGTGGTGTGAGCGTTGAGGTCCCTGTTGGGATCCAGTTGCCGAGTGAGCTCCTCGTCCTGGAGACTCATGGAGGAGAAGGAATCGAGAGAGTCGGTGGGGTCGTGGCGATCCTGGGGCGGGAGAAGAGGAGGAGCTGAATCGGAGGCGGAGGTGGAATTAGGGTTTGAATCGGAATCAGGGTTTTGCCAAGCAGGAGAGGAGAAAGCGGAGACGGTGGCCATGGAAGAGAGATTTTGGAGGATTCTAGAGAAATCGGAATTCGGATAGAAGCGGCGTGGATAAGAAAAACAAAAAGGAATAAGATACGAGACGTGAGCACGGCTTCGTGCTTTCCTCAACGTCTCGTCAAGATTTTGTTTACAGTATTCCGTTGTTTTTTTTTTCTCCTCCCAATGCAATATTCCTTCCAAAACTCTGTGTAATTTAAACAGAAAACAATGCATTTCAATAGTAATTATATTTCAATATATCAATTTATTATCTACAAATATCTAAAAAAAATATGCAACGCAACATTAAGAGTTTTGAAGTGATTACAAGGCTGTTGGCCTTCAGCCACGGTGAAGTTGACGAGGGAGTTGCCTCGACGGTGGCTTCGGTGAAATTTAACAGTATTCTATGTTTACATATTTTTTCCCTGAAACACGGATCCGTTGTAGTCTAGATGGTTAGGATACTCGGCTCTCACCCGAGAGACCCGGGTTCGAGTCCCGGCAACGGAAATTTTTTAATTATATTTTTATTAAAAATATAAAATCAGAGAATGTGATTTCATGGGCCTAGTCCATTCTCGGCCCATTTGTAATACATCCATTTTTTTTGGGAAGAAACGCCGTCGACAACACGACAAAACGGGCTAGATGTTCTTCCATACTCGCACTGCGGCGGCCACGTCATTAAAGTTCGAAAAAGTTAAAAAAGAAAGAAAAAAAAAAGGAGGAAGGCAAGTTTCGTATTCATCTTGCACACCCCCACATGTCACTGTGCTTAAAACCCTTCTCCAGCTTCGGATTCTTCCACCATTATCGAGCGTTATCCTCACGCACGCACACAAGCCCAGCCAGCACCAATAGCCTGAGATTAAAGCAGAGAGAGCAGCCATGGCTACGGGAGATCACAAGCAGTTGATGATCGTCGGCGTCGACGAGAGCGAGCCGAGCATCTACGCCCTCGAGTGGACTCTCGACCACTTCTTCGCTCCTTATTCTCCCAATTCCCCCTTTAAGCTTCTCATCGTCCATGCTAAACCTTCCGCCATCTCCGCCATCGGTCTCGCCGGTCCCGGTAATGTTACTTTTATTTTTTTGGTCGCACTCATGGAAACGATCTTTCGACTAAGAAATTTGGGATTTGATTTGGTTTTTGATTACTGCTTCTGACGGTTTTTCTAGGAACTGCGGAGGTTGTGCCTTTTGTTGACGCCGATTTGAAGAAGATTGCTGCCAGAGTCGTTGAGAAAGCTAAGGAGATTTGTCACAGCAGATCGGTACTCGATCATTGTCTCCCGTTTTTCATTTTTTTTTAATGGAAATCACGTCTCTGTTTCCTTTCGGTCATAATTGCTATTCGATGATTTCCGTACGAAGGATAGTCTCTATGTATAGTTATTGTGGTTGTGGACTGTAGAATGCTTGTTCTTGTACCTTGTTGCACGAATTCTGAATGAGAGGAAAGTACAGTAGAAAAACTTTTAAGCTTAGTATTACGATAGTATCATTGTTCGTAATGAACACGGGAGATGCTCTGCAGGTAAGCGACGCGACAGTGGAAGTAATAGAAGGGGATGCCCGAAATGTACTCTGTGAAGTTGTGGAGAGACACCATGCTTCTGTTCTGGTCGTAGGCAGCCACGGGTACGGAGCTATCAAGAGGTATGTGCTCATCTTTAAACCCTTTCAGTCGCCATGATTCTGTCCTCTCTTCTTAGAAGACGACACTCACTCCCTAAATGGATA